TACAGTTACTACTCTTACTACTACTAATACTAATACCACTATTACTACTAATGTTGCTACTACTGCTACTACTACTTCTGCTACTTATACTTATTCTTCCTCTACTACTAACCACTAATAATTATGACAATAATGATGATGATAAAGATATTGATAATAGTAATAATAATACTAGCAATGACAATGACAATTATAGTAAAAATAACAGAGAGTTTCTGTCTTGATTTCCCAAACCCAAAGGGAGCAATTGCGGATTTAAATAGTGCGATAAATTCTGCAAACACCAAAAAACAGGTTGAAATACTTACGATCGGGTTCTTTATTGGCAGTTGATTGGATAGTTTCCTGTCTGCATAGTGAGCACTTCAATGCCACTAGTCTAAAGTTGTGTGTTTGTTTTTTTACGTGTCTTTTTTATCTTGTTTATTTACTTATTAATTAACTAATTTCATAGTAAGTTCAAGAGACAAGATTTGTATTTACTGCTCTGAACACAAAAACCGCAAATAGATGTGGAGGAAGAGAAAGAGTTTGTATTCAACAAAGACACGAGGCAATATCATTGTTAACAATAAAATTAAAAAAAAAAAAAAATTATATATATATATATATATATATATATATATATATATATATATATATATATATATATATATATATATATATATATGAAAGATGGAATAATGCAATACCGCATTGATGTAGATATATAACAATCCTCCCTGACCTGGCCTCGAACCTAGGTCACTCCGGGTATGAAGACCGGAGGGCCAGTACTAAACCAACCATGCCACACGGTCGTGTGGCATGGTTGGTTTAGTACTGGCCCTCCGGTCTTCATACCCGGATTGACCTAGGTTCGAGGCCAGGTCAGGGAGGATTGTTATATATATATATATATATATATATATATATATATATATATATATATATATATATATATATATATATATATATATATATATATATATATATATACACATATGAATATTTCATCTGCTTATGGGAGAAGATAAATTAAAGAATAAATACGTTTTATGGCTGTTAGTTCAAATGATGCGACCTGGACGGTTAATAAATTTGATTAATGGTTTTGCTTACATCTTTACAGAGAACGCGTCAGTGGTAGCAGTCAGAGAGAAATCTGGATACTGTGTTATTTATTTATCTATTTATCTATCTATCTATTTTTTCGCTTGAAGAAACAGGAGTGCAGAAGAATGGTTTCATATTGGTTGATCATGATGATTAATGATGGTCATGAGGTGATAATGATAGTAACGATAAAGATAATAATCATAATGATAATGGAGATAATGATGATGATAGTCACTATAATAATAATAATAATGATATCAATAGTAGTAGTAGTAATAGTATTAATAACAACAACAATGATAATAATAATATTAGGATGATAATAATTGATAATACTGATAATAATGATAATAATGATAACATTAATAATAATGATAATATTAATGATAATAATGATACTCATAATAATATAAATAATTATAACGTTAATACTAATAGTAATGATAATAATGGTAATGATAACAGCAATAATGAGAATTATGATGATAACAATAATGATAATAATAACAATGACGATGATAATAATAATAATAATAATAATGATGATAATAATAATAATGATAATAATAATGATGACGATAATGATAATAACAATAACAATAACAACAACAGCAATGGTAATGATAACACTAATAACAGAATGACTTACAAGCTAAAAACCTTCCACAAGTTCGACATCAACATTAGTAATATACTGATGGTAATAATAGCAATAATAATAACGCTTATAAATATCGGTTATAAACGCAACAGTGATAATGATGATAATAATCAATAACAATCAGTCAGTGGGGGCCACCGCATTCATATATAAATATAAATATATATATATATATATATATATATATATATATATATATATATATATATATATATATATATACATATATACACATACATATATATACATATATATAATATACATATATACATATATATATATATATATATATATATATATATATATATATATATATATATATATACATATATATATATATATACATACGTATATCCATATACATCCATATATCCATATATATATATATGTCAGGGTAGAGACTGCAATCGGGTAGAATCAGAGATTCTACCAGTAGAGACTCCGATCGGAATTTCTACCAGTAGAGTCTCCGATTGCAGTCTCTACTGGTAGAATTTGAGATTCTACCAGTAGAGATTCCAATCAGAGTTTCTACTGGTAGAGTCTCTAATCCAAATAACTATTTTTATTTGATGATCAATGTCTAGCTAAATTTGCACTGCATACTAGTCCTCTGTAGTATTGCATTAAAAGACAACTAAATTGATTTAACCATTTTTATTTGATGATCAATGTCTAGCTAAATTTGCACTGCATACTAGTCCTCTGTAGTATTGTATTAAAAGACAACTAAATTGATTTATCAGATAGTCAATGTGATTTTGTTCAGTTTTTTTATGCAAAATAAAAGTCTACAATACAATACAATACAATACAGAATCAGAGACTCAACCAGTAGAAACTCTGATCGGCGTCTCTACGGGTAGAATCTGAGATTCTACCAGTAGAAACTGCAATCGGAGACTCTACTGGTAGAAACTCCGATCGGAGTCTCTACTGGTAGAATCTCTGATTCTACCCGATTGCAGTCTCTACCCTGACATATATATATATATATATATATATATATATATATATATATATATATATATATATATATATATGTATATACATATATGTATGTGTGTGTGTGTGTGTGTGTGTGTACGCATATATAAACAAACAGACAGATAGACACAAATATATAAATATATACATATATAAGTACACACAAGCCTAACAACGAGGGAGAGATCCGGCAAACGGTTCGACGAGCCAAGATACTCAAAGCGGGGATCTCCCTGACCGCTAATGGCAGAAGGAGACCAAGTCATCCAGTCTGCCGTAAAAAGCCGGGGAGCCGAGTCTGGGGGGGGGGGGGGACTTCGAAAGCATTTCCTTCGAGGTAAGCGGGGACACTCTCTCTCTCTCTCTCTCTCTCTCTCTCTCTTCCCTGTCTTCTTCTTTCCTATATTCTTCTTTTCTTTAATTTCTTTTAGTCTTTTTTCTTTTTCTGTTTTTCTTTCTTTTTTTACAACTCTTGTTCTTGTTGTTATTGTCTTTATCATCAACATTATTATTATCATTGTTAGTATTATTCTTATTACTATTGTTATTATTGTTATCATCATTATCATTATTGGAATTACTATTGATAATGATGATGATGATAGTCAACAGTAACAACAACAACCTTAATAACAATATCAATAATAATAATGGTAATGATAACACGTTTATAAAATGATATTGACATGATAATGACAATGATGATAATAATTATATTATCATTATTGTCATTATCATTATCATTATTATTGTTGTTGTTTTGTTGTCCGGCCTGTACGAGGAGGAGGTTTGGTCCGTGCGGGGCCTCTGTTGCTGCCTCGGCTTCAGCGCACAGAGCATCGCCCACTCCGTGATGCTGACCGTGGCCGTTCCCGGTGGGGGGTGCAAGGAGGGGCGTGGGCGCTCGCGTTGTGAAGCTTGTCAAAGCAGTTGTCTATTTTATTTTATTTATTTATAATTGATTTGATTATTAAATTGCAATTGCTTTCGGCCGGAGGCTTTGACGTTTCAAAACAAACTTCTGTTTGTTTGACCGTACTCTGTAGTTATCACGAATAGTTTAAGTTTTAATCTTTTCTATAGCATTCTTGTTAGTGAGTCATTCAGATAACCTATACAAGATTTTAAAAAAAATCCCATTAACATACAATGTTCGGCTTTACATTACCAAAGTACACATTTCAGAAGACGTGATTTTAAATTCTCGTTATCAACCGCTGAAGTCTTCAAAAATCCGATGTGAATGAATTATGCAAATTTGGAATTTACATTCAGTTTATTCACAGAAAACTCTATGGGCTCCCTTTAATCGCAGAATACTTATAAGTATTCAAATATTAAACCATATTTTTCTACCTAAAATCACAAAATGAAAGCATCATAAGTTCAAGCTTTAATCAGTCGATAGAAGGCAAGCAAATCAAACTTAATGAAGCTATGAAGAAATAAAATATCATTCTATCATTCAATCAAAGATTCATGAAAATGTAAGATACATAGAGAGAGAATAAAAAAGAGATATATGATAGATATATGCATATATATATGTATATATTATATATATATATATATATATATATATATATATATATATATATACATATGTATATATATATATATATACTGTGTATATATATATATATATATATATATATATATATACATATATATATATATATATATATATATATATATATATATATATATATATATACATATATATATATATATGTAGAGAGAGAGAGAGAGAGAGAGTGAGAGAGAGAAATAATGATAAAATAAAAATGCATATACATATATATATATATATATATATATATATATATATATATATATATATATGTATGTATATATATATATATATATATATATTATATATATATATATATATATATATATATATATGTGTGTGTGTGTGTGTGTGTGTGTGTGTGTGTGTGTGTATATATTTTTAAAAAGGCAATTTAATGACCCCCCCCGCAGATAATCGCCACCCTGAACGTGAGCATCGCGAAGTTCTTGTAGCAGCGCCCGCCCCTTGTGCCCCCCCCACCCCCCGTCCCCAGCGCCTCCGTCCAGAGGGAAGTCTCCTGTGTCCACGTGACCAGGGTTTACTCCGCGGCGGTGGAGAGCCATGCTGTGTTCAAGTCATGTGTTTGGACCATGCTGCGTTCAGGCCATGCTGTGTTTAAGCCATGCTGCATTCAGGCCATGCTTGTTTGCTTGGGCCATGCTGCTTCAGGTCATGCTGTGTTTAGGCCATGTTTCGTTTAGACCATGCTGTGTTTACTTTGGCCATGCTGCGTTCAGGCCATGCTGTGTTTAGACCATGCTGTGTTTAGGGATGTGTTTAGACCGTGCTTTGTTTAGCCCATGGTGCGCTCAGGCCATGCTGCATTCAGGTCATGTTGTATTTAGGCCATGCTGTGTTTAGGAAAGTGTTTAGATCTTGCTGTGTTTAGCCCATGCTGCGCTCAGGCCATGCTGCGTTTAGGCCATGCTGTGTTTGGGCCATGCTGCGTTCAGGCTATGTGTTTAGACCATGCTGTTTAGGTCACGTGTTTCAACCATGCTGCACTCAGGCCAAACTGTTTAGGTCATGTGTTTAAGCCCTGCTGTGCTTAGGCCATGTGTTTAGACCACGCTGTGTCTCGGCCATGCTGCACTTAGGTCATGTGTTCAGGCCATGTTGTGTTAAGGATACCCTGTGCTTATGTCATGCTGTGCTTACGATATGCTGTGCTTAGGCCTTGGGAATGTCTGTCTGTACTTGTTCTGTATTTGAGAGCGTAAGTAAGCATAACTGATATCGATACCTGTGATATATATGAAATTTGATCTGTTACACAGCAAAACTGATAGTTTAAATTATTCATGATTTCAGGGCAAGTCTTGTAGATTTTTGACTTTCGATATTGTATCAGTTTACAAATTCACTGAGGTTATTGTAATCAAAATAAATATAACATTACTTCCTGTCCCAAACAGATATACTGGACGGTTAACTTTAGAATTAAGATTTACTGTAAAATGACATAAAATCACAATCTATTCTATTGTTTAGGTGCCTGCTTGCACACACATATATTCTTGTGTGTTCTATGATGTGGTATTTCAATGAAATCTTAATATTTCCGTTAAAGGACCACACAAGACATCACGCAATAATGTAAATGTAGCCAGACGCAAGTGTACTTGTTGTGATAATGTGCAGTGAATTAAAGAACAGAATATTGTGATTGTTTCTTTTCATTCCTTTGTACAAAACTGGTCAAATTGAGGAAGGGAATTTGCAAGCTAACAAAACCTTCTTGATAGAGAAATGTTTCCAAAACGCTAATCCTATTAAACGGCATAATTTGATATTAAATTCTATTTTTCAGCAGACGGTCCCTTCAGATTTTAAATATCCACACACACAGAACATTAGTTTATTCACTGATTCACACGTATTTCCAAATGTCCCGTTTGTTATATTTCGTGTCACAAGCCTATTATTACAGCCCACGTGGTCTCTCATAATACATTATTCCACGTAGGAAGTTGTTCGTTGATCGCTCGACCTTAGGAAGCATCCAGTTTTGCATCATCATCAAGAGCGTATGAACCACACACTGGGGGGAGAGGGAGTAAATTCTGGCATACGCTCTTTATACGCAGTGAAAATATCGACACGGATTACACTAGGGATCCTGTGGCTTAGGTCATTGTGTTTATATTTTTGTTCTGTACACTCTTGAGGGTTGGGGTAGCGTAGGGTGGGGTGGGGAGGGGGTTCTTAGGAAGATTAAGAGTACCTTCTTTACGCCTGTGAAAATGACTTCAAAAATGGATGACCCTTTACATAAATGAGAGAAGTGCAGCTCAAAGTGACGATGAAGATAACATGATAGTGAAATGTGATAGTGATATGGAGAAGAGTGACAATGATAAGAAATCAAAGGACGGATCATAATAGGATGGCAGGTAAATATAATAGAGATGGCGATCTCTGACCCTGGGGAGGGAGAGAGAGAGAAAGAGAGAGAGAGAGAGGGAGAGAGAGGGGGAGAGAGCGAGAGAAAAAGAGAAGGAGAGAGAGAGAGAGAGAGCAAGCGAGTGAGTGAGCGAGTAAGCGAGATCATGCTTTTGCGCATCTTCAGGATAAACTAACCCAAGAATACGCAACAATTTTCTTGTCATGTGTATATATATATATACATACTCATCTTTTATCTTCTCTTTTCGTCTCTTCGTTCTCTTTTCATCTCATCTCGTCTTTTCTCTCCTCGTCTTGTCTCGTTTCTTTTCTTCTTTTCTAGTCTCTTCTCTCTCTCTCTCTCGCTCTCCGACCGCAGGAAATTTTCTTGGATCCTTAGACTCAGATTCTGCATAATTGCTGCAAAAACGACATGCAATGCACTCCTCACATTGCACAATTTGAGACGAGGACAATACACGAACAACACTCATGGCCGAAAACACTTTTATTTACATTTATACACATGAACGTCGTACTGGAAAGCTTTCAGCACGGAGTCTAGAAAAAATATAAATACATCTGTGTAACTAAAGTCATTCACATTGTAAGTTTGTTTTTTTTTGCTCGTTCATTCACTCTGCATTCACTCCCTTCTTGATGCATTTTCCTTTCACTCATTCAAGTTACATCCATTCTTAGCCTAAAATAGATCCCTAGGAATAAATAGAGAACTGCTTCGTTCATATGTAATAGCATTGATAATAATAATAGTAATAATAATAATAATAATAATAATAATAAACAGATTCGCCCATATGTAATAACAATAGTAATAATGACAATAAGCAGATTCATTCTTATATAATAATAATAATAATAATAATAATAATAATAATAATAATAAAATACTAATACTAATACTAATACTAATAATAACAATAGAATAATAATAATAATCATAATAATAATAATAACAATAAACAGATTTATTCTTATATAATAATAATGATAACAATAATAATAATGATAACAATAATAATAATAATTACAATAATAAAATAATAATAATAATAATAATAATGATAATGATAATGATAATAATAATAATAATAATAAAATATTAGTAATGATAACAATAAACAGATTCGTCCCTACAATAACAACAATAACATTAGCAAAGCCCACACGCAGCCCTCCCCTTCTTCAGCGCTCGCAGGAACAGCCGGTCGAGAACCACCACCTTCCCGTCACTGTCCTTCTCGAGTCCTCCCCGCTTTTCCAGGATCTCGATGACGTAGTACCCCGCGATCCCCAGCAGGAGGAACACGTTGAGGACCACGATCTTCGAGCTGACGCAGAGGACGGTGCTGCAGGCGTAGGCGATGATAAAGCCCGTCGACTCCCACAGGCGGTAGTTGCTGAAGGCGGCCTCGGACTCGCCGGGGAAGATCACGCCGTAGAGAGCTGGGGGGGAGGGGAGAGGAGACTTAGAGAGTAGAGATGCCATGTTCAAGTTTTATAGATACACCCTATTTGTGTAGATCTTATATTTATCATATCGCGCGTATATATCGAACAAATACAGACTCACACAAACATACTATGTACTCTATTTTGATCAGATTTGTTTGGTAAATGAGATACAATGACAGGTTCACGTCAAGCATTACAACTTACCGTCGATTATATGGGCCTGCCATTAGCTATTCAAACTTAACATCAAAAATACTCCCTACTGTTAAAATACCTTGCCCACAATCCGATCACGGTAAACGAATCATAAACACCGCATTTCCTAAACTGAATAGATTATTCCGTTATACAAAGCTTTGGAAAATTCCATCGCAAAAAACGAAATAAGCAAAGGGAATTATATATAGTATTACGTACCCACATTACCACAGGCATATATATATAAGACAACGACCCTTACTGTTTATCTGCGTCTGCCATACTGCATCAGCGACGCCCCAGAGACCAGATATGACGAAGAAGACGACCAAATCATCGGGTTTCGGCATCCAGTACGTCAAAGTGATGTTCAGCCCCAGGTTAATGAGGAAACCGAGGCTGAAGACGGGGACACGGCCGTACTTCCGGACGATGGGGCTGAATCCAGCGGAGCAAATGGCGTCACACACACCGTAACAAATGATGATGTAACCGACCATGTGTACGCCGAGACCACAGGATACGAATGCCTTAAATAAAAAAAAAGAAAAGAAAAGAAAAAAAAAAGTGTTAGGTCAAATCACATGTCTGCACAGAAGATGTATAATATATTACCACCCAACCGGCTTTAAAATTTGTAAACTTGGGGAATCTTAAGTTTTCATACTGTCGATTCGTTTTTAAGATTAATCTAAAGCTCTTTATATTTTAATACCTATCGAATAAAGCGATAATAACTTCATAATTATTTAGAACCATTAAGATCTAGTTACAACAAAAAACGTTCTTTTCAATACCTTACATACACTTTCTTATGGGAAAAAAAGACAAGCACATTGCGAACAAAATTCAGTCGAGCCATATATATATATATATATATATATATATATATATATATATATATATATATATATATTTATATATATATATATATATATATATATATATATATATATATATATATATATATCTTCCAAAAACGACGGATTCAGAGAGGACGACTTTGAACACTTACCGCCGTATAATCTGCTCCGAGGAAAGCCTGCTCCACCCCCGACCATATTGTCAGGGGAATGATCAGCAACTGGTAGGGATGGCGCAGTTGGTTAAACGTGGCGGCAACGAGGGCAAGGCCATTCTTTTCCTGGCTGTCTGGGGATTCCTTCACAACTCTATAAAGGAGAGAAATGAATGAAACTCGGTGTCTAGCAAAAGAAGCTTGAACACTTTATACGCACAGCCCTTTCCAGCAGGGAAGACTGAGGGAGAAAAGGCATTAACCTTATGTAGGAGTTGCAGGATATGGTTTCAAGTCTTTCTCTTTGTTCATTATTCATATTATTTATTTCATTATCTTTATCAGATGCCTTTGTCCTCACCTACACAAAGGACCCACAAAGAAAACGGTTTCAATTTTTCTTTCATTTGTTCATTATTAATTTCATTTTTATTCCATCTATGTATTCGCTTATTTGTTCATGTATCAGACCCGACCCTCACCTGCTCAGAGGATCCACAAAGAAGACGGCAACGGCGGCGGCGAGGAGAGAACAACCGAGGTAGATGGAAGCCATGGTGTAGATCTTCCAAAGAGAAGGACCGTCTTCGCGTCTGTCTGTGCTGGCGGTGGTGTTGCTGGGGGAGTCCTCGTGCCGTTGGTCGAGGCAGAAGTTGTAGCCGCAGGTGAGGAGATCCTCGGCTGTCTTGTTCTTTTCAACTCCTACTGATAGGACTAGAGGGCGGAGGAGAGATGGTACTCGTGATAAGGTTGTTTGTTATGATTTAAGTCCATGAAAGAGTAGCGAAGGATAAAAAAAATAGGCCCAAGCAGAGTTCTTTCATTGAGCAAATGTAGATATGGAAATAGCAGAGACGAAGATTAAATGCCAAGAGACCGAACAGGACGATCCCTAAATGAAAAACTGGCAACTCATCCCTGACTCAGGAGCTCCAATTCGCTTAGTAACTTTTGAGAAAAAATAAAGTGGTATTGAAGGCAAGACCTTCCAATAAAAACAAATAGGTTCTAAAATGAAACCATAGGCAAACATAAGCATAAGTGTCCCCTGTTCAGAATAAACAAGAGAATGACACTTTAACAATTCAATAAAAGCACATTGACTTTTCCTTTAAACTTGCCAGTGCCTTTCAATAATAAAAAAAACATCGTGTTAACAAGTTCCACACCTTAAATATATCAGAAATGCAGACAGACAGACAGGAAATGATTAATTAAGCAGAGAACTGGAAAACAGGTTCATTTAGACTGTAAATTATACCACTGTATTCGTATACGCCCCTGGAATTCATTGTAATGTCTGTATAACTGGATAATAGATTGAGATAATGAATCTATTTGTATATGCTATGTATGCTCGGCAACTGATTCAGTAGTCGGTAATAAGTACCAAGTATAGGTAACAAATATAATCAAATTTAAAGTCT